AGAATGAGTCTTCAACTAAAACGTGGAGAGATATGCCGCCATAATTTTTTGTCTTTTGTGCACGCGGAGAGTACTGCAGCGAGGCCCTTCCTCTCAAAAAGTTTTGAGATTCTTCGGTCAGCTGTCAGACTCTCCAGGGTCGGGCCGCCACTCTTGAAACAGGGAAATGTTTCAAGAGCTGTCAGAAGATTTCAAGAGTTTTCAGCCACACACCAAGCACTCTTGAAACTGCGACAGTGCAAAAGGACTAAGTGTGCCGAACCCGCCGGGATGGCGGTCCGTTAGGATGGAGACGAAGGAGGAGGTAGAGATGGAGCTGGAGGGGACAGCGCAGCTCCGACGCAGACTCCACACGCAAGTACTCCAAGATCTGCGAAAGTGAAGAATGCCGAAAAACARACTGCAGYTGGGRTATACCCCCAGCGGACTGACTGGACTGGACTGGACTGGMCTGGTACCGACCGTGGTACCGGGCGGGACTGGACTGGACTGAAACAATATACGGCCTGTGGGGTCAGGCCACGGCCTGGTCCCACAGGCCGAACTGGCAAATAGCCAAATAGGCCCTGGCTGTAGGCCAGGGCAGATAAAGGCCCGCTGCACTAAGGATGCAAAGAGACAGACATACGGCTTTGTGATTTCTGAATGCTTGAAAATCATTACCTTCTTAACCCGAAAAAAAACGGACGTACCTTGTATACGAATACGACGTACCGGGTACGGGGTACGTTGTATGCGAATACAACGTTGGTTGGGAATGATAACTCTTGAAAAACATTACCTTCTTAACCCGAAAAAAACGTGTGTACCTTGTATACATACCCGGTACGGGGTACGTTGTATGCGAATACAAGGTTGGTTGGGAATTTTGCAAAGACCCTCAGGCAAAAGTTGTTTGCATTGCAATGTAGTACAGCATAAGTTTTTTTTCAGATTTCTTTCTGAAGTTTTTTTTAAATCGAAATTCTGAAAAAATAAGTAAAAAGCATTTTCATCCTCGTTTTTATTGTTTTCTCGAATTTTCTCGTGAATTTGGATAAGACCCTCACGCAAACGTTGTTTGTATTGCATTGTTGTATAACATTTTTTTTTTTCGGATTTTTTAGATTACTTTTGAAAAATCGAAGTACCAAAAATTCGAATACAGTATACATACTTCGTATTCGAATACAACGTACGTATTCGGGGAAAAAACAAGAGATTTTTGAAAACCTGATTTCAAGAGATTTCTGAAAAACTGATTTCCAGAGGTAATTCGAATAGAACGTACGTACCTTTTTTTCGGGTTAAGAAGGTAGTCCTCACCACACACCAAGCACTCTTGAAAGGGCGACAGTGCAAAAAGACTAAGGATGCAAAGAGACAGTCGTACAGCTTTGTGCTCTGAATGGCGTCAGGATAACTCTTGAAAATCATTAGTCCCTCAAGGGGTCGGCCAAGGACGCTTGGAAACGCACAAGTTAAAGGCTGCCAGACTGGGTTTCCAATCTTTCAAGAACTGCTCTTGAAAGGGGTTTTCAAGAGGCTGCCACTCTGACTGCTCTTGACTGCCCCAAGTTCCAAGAGGCTGTGTGGCTATGCAGCAACTGTACTATTGAAAATGAGTTTTCAAGGGTGGTGTGGCGAGGCCCTTGGTTTCTGTAGTTCCTCGGAGAGTAAACGGAACAACATAAGACGGCAAAAGGAAGTGTGACAGTGGGCACCAACTGGTGGCCTACTCTCGAAATACTGTGGTGTGTGAGAGAAGTGCGTGGAGGTCTCTCAAGGCTCGAGTTGTTGCAACGGGGGAATTATACAACTTTGGAGAGGAGCCTTGAGGGGCCGATAATGGGCCTGGCTCCACGACTCTCCAAATGTGCAAAAGAAGAGTGAATCTTCCGGTAGAACCTTTGGAAGATACACCACCATGCTTTTTGTCTTTATTGCTCGGGAGTAGTAAAGCGACGCCCTATGACTGCTCTCCAAATGTCTTTCCAGAGTGCAATGCAATAGTTGGTTGATCCGTGTCCTCGGGCTTGGCGCACTAGTTTCCATATGCATGAAAGACAAGAAATATGACTCTGTATCCCTCCATTTTATAGAGGCAGATCCATTCTCATTTTGCACAGTCGGTGAGCAGTGAAGCGAGGCCCCTACTCTTGAATCTTCGAGTTTTGAAAAGCACTGGAGACTCACCCATGTTCTCAACAGAACGTCTCCAATGACAGCCGCAGGGCATTCAACACTAGGACTTTTTTTTTTTTTTTCTGGACATAATTACGGTCAGATACATCCAAGTGATGAGGCAATTCAATGACAAAAAAATGGCCGAGGAGAATGAAGGCCGTGCCTCTTAGGACCGTGATCCAGTAAGAAAAAAGAAAAAGGACAAAAGATAAAAAGAAAGGAAGGGAAAATTTCCGAAGAATTATGAAGTGAAAAAAAGCAGGGGACCCAAGAGCCTATCTCAGTGGGGACCACACCCATGAACTGTTGAAATACAGACCTGTGTTCGAATCCAGATGATGGAACTTGACGAGTAAAACCGCCTACTAATGAATTGCTTGGGGCCGATCAGCTCAATGATAATATCTCAAGGCCGTCGCCCTTTAAAAATTAAAAAAAAATAATAATAAAAATAATAAAATAAAAAAGGGGTAACCACCGTGCAGTTACGTTTTCAGTTCTAAATCCACTTCACTCATCCCTCGAAAACAACACATCCTCAGATTCCCCACCCAACCCGAAAGCTGGGCTGGATACATCCACGATTTTACCGGCGTGTTACCTTTTCAGTTCTAAATCTACTTCAGGCATCTCTCGAATATAGCACATCCCCACCCAACCCCAAAGCTGGGTTGGATACATTCACGATTTTCCTTGCTTTGAAGCAATATACACGAAACCGTCACTGAAACGCATTTAAAACTGAAAACCTTGACTGCACCCTAGTTTTCCCAAAAAAGAATAGTTTTGAACCCAGCTGCATTTTCATCCTGAATAGAAGGCGTGGCCTTCGACCCGCATCTCTCTAAAATATTCCCCTAGATAGGGATGTCAGTTTTTTTTTCTTTTTTCTTTTCTTGGGACCATTTCTCTACTTATGCGTATCATCCTTGAGCAGGGGCGATACTAATCTTCTCTGTATCGTTCCAATTTTTAACGGATGTCCCGAAGAAAGCTGTCTCGTTTTTTGGGAAAGGTTGTTGAACGTTTTCAATCCCGAATTGTGATAGCATTTAACCCGGGTTTCGTGGAATAAACGGCCTGAGTTGAAAATGGCAAAATACAGTGCAGCTATTTTTTGTGTTTTTTGCCATTTCAGATTCGAGCAGCGACAAAACTGCCTGTAGATGTATTCTCTGCCCGTTTCAAACAAATTATGTGACCGCATATTTCTTATTCTTGTTTGGAATCAACCTGCGGAAATAGAAAGAAATTTGAAGACGAAGACATTGCCAGGAAATGCGATCCCTCCGGGTGATTGGAGCAGTTGAAGAGGACCCAAATCCCAGGCGGCCGCAACCTTGTCTGTCTGTTGAGAAATGGGGAAGTAGGGTGACGGGTCCACCCATTTCCAGATTCGGGCATCCCTTTTTTCTAAGGAACTACCATTTTGGGTACCCAGTGTGACTGTGTGAGCGTGCCCTGAGCTAGGAAAGGGAAGGCACCAATGATGTACCGCGTGTGCAGTCAAACCAGCATCGTTCATGTACATATGCAGTCAAACCAGCATCGCCCATGTACAGAGCGCACACGTAGACAGAAGCACAGGGCTAGATTGCTGCACTTTATCACATTAGCGAAAGAAGAAAACAGGTAGACAGTGGTACGTTGTCACATCGCCCTGAGCTAGGCTCGTTTGTAAAATCTTTCTGCGTAGGACAAGGTTTCTCTACTTCTCGCGTAACCGCACCGCGGAACTTTCTTTCTTTTTAAATTTAACTCGAAGCATTTCTCGATTTTTTTTTTGTCATCCTTGCGCAGGGGGCCATGGTTCCGATTTTCTCGATTTTAACGCTTGAGGGCATACTCACGCTGGGGTCGCACTGTGAGTATGCCCTCAATTGTTGAGATCGAGAAAGTTGGAAGCGTGGCCCCCTGCGCAAGGATGACAAGAAAAAAATCGAGAAATGCTTCGACTTAAAAAAAAAAAAAGTTCCGCGGTGCGGTTAAGAGAGAAATAGAGAAACCTTGTCCTTCGCAGAAAGATTTGACTAACGAGCCTAGCTCAGGGCGATGTGACAAAGTACCACTGTCTCCGTGTTTTCTTCTTTGGCTAAGGTGTTGAAGTACAGCAATCGAGCCCTGTGCGCATTTGGGAAGGGCCGATTCGAGGGTCTGGGCATGGTTCACGTCACACCCCTGTACCTTTTCAGATGGGACAAGGTCACGGCCGTGTGGAGAAGTGGGGATTTGGTACTTGGCTGGTGACACGGCGCCATCCACAAATTGTGTGCCATTTTTTTGAAGAAAATGCGAAAAAATTGGGTCTTTGCGGTCGTCGGTGACCGTAAATAGTACGTTTGGTACTTCGGCAAATCTGTGTGATCGGCCAGGTACCCTTTTTGGGGGGGGAGATCTGGGATAACAGGTCCCGTGTGTGTGAGTATGCCTTGAATGTGAACGTGCCAAAAATCGGGATTGATCTGCATTTCTGCGTAAAACGCACCCTCAATCCATTCCTCTGTGCTATTTGGATTGGGATCTCGCCCCGGGGAAGACAAAACAGAAATGAAACAAAGGTAATCTTGGGCGCACAATTTGTTTTCTTGGTTTGTGAGATCTCCTAGAAGAAAATGGAAAAGAAGAGTCTAACGGGAAGGGGGGAAAAGAGAGAAAAAATGTTCCAGGCTTTTCTGAAAAAAAAGAAAAAGAGAGCAAAAGAAAACAGGAGAGGACGGATTAGGCTGAAAGCCACAGAGTGAAGCGAAGCCTTGTCTAGAGGCGGACTGCCGCGAGCCAGTGCATAAAAGCGACCCGAGCTGCCTCGACTAGACATCGACTCGACTGTGTAGCTTAGAAACTTCGACGAGTGGGGGGTCGAGCGGAGCAGCGAGTACTTGTGTTTTACCGCTGCTTTCGTGTCTTCAGAGGACCGCCTTTCTGTCGCAAGTAAGGAAAGCGCGCTCAGGGGAGGTGGAAGGTGAAGTAGCGGACAATGGCGCGCTCCGCCTTTCTGGTGGCCTTTGTTCTGGTCGGTGTTGCAGTTCTGGCAAGTGCGGAGGCTCCGCCGGAGGTTACTATCAGCTATGTCACCTACATGGGCTCGGGCTGCAAATATGACAACACCAACTGGGTGCTGTCCAACGACTACAAGACGGTCACCTTCATATTCGGCGGGATGGTTGCCAGCACGGACGCGTCCCTCGCCGAAAAGAGGAAGGCCTGCCAGATGTCTTTCAATATGATCTACCCGGATGGCTGGAGCGTGTCCTTGGGGCAGGCCACGGGGCGCGGGTTCGCTGAAATCGGCGAGGAGTCCGCAGGCATCTATGAGTCGCACTACTACTTCTCCGGACAAACGGGTACGGCGATGATCGAGCGCAAAATCCAAGGCGCATTTACTGGCAGCTTCGAGTTCACGGACTACTTCCTGACGCTTGTCTGGAGCGAGTGCAACAACGCACCCAACTTGAACATCAAGGTGGTGGTGCGAGTGGACGGCAAGAAGGCGACCATGGCTCTCGACTCCGCCGATACCAAGTTCCAGCTCATCTTCAACCTCCAATGGAAGAGGTGTGCTTAGAACTGAGAACCCATCCCACCACCATCTCCCATGTGGAGGATAGTGGGTGAGAAGGGTAGGAGATGTGGGCAGCTGTGCCGTCTTG